CCCCACCGTTTTCTGGAGCAAATCTTGTGGCTCTTTCGCTTGTTGGAGAGTCAAGCTTCCCTTTTTGTATGATCCCCACTAGAGGGGATTTGGCCAAAGGACATTTTCTTATGGCCAAGAAATTGTCACCCATAAGCAAGCTGGGAGTCTATGGTTCCCACTTCCTTGAAGGGAAAGGACAATGACAATTGTGTTACTCTAGGGGTTTGTAGACGAGGGAACTTTTGCTACCCTGGGATTTCAATCCTTGTTGCGTTATAAGAGCTAGATTTCTTTTAAGTCTCAACCATAACCCGGACGGAAAGAGTGGCGAGCCCCGCTCTAGCCTCTGTTCTTTTGTTTTTCTTCTGCTCTGACTTCTGCTTTTTCTTTCCTTTCCTTCCTTTCCTTCCTTCCCTTTCTCTTTGGTGGGACTCACAGATCCTTTTATACCGCCCTTGTCTCCTTCCCACCGCAGTGGATTTCTCTGATCCTCACCTCATCCCTCCCTCCCACCAGGAGGTTTCCCACACTTTTGCAACTGATCCAGCTTTAAGGTACTAAAGGTAGGTACAGCAGGAGAGATGCAAGAAATGCAGTTTTAGAAGCTGAAGCGTTTGAGAACCTGCGAAAAGTCCCCCGGCCTCACAGAATCTACGTAGTCTCAATCCTCACATCCCTTGTCTTTCGTGGCGGTCACAGTTTTTTCACACTCAAAAAACTACGTTGGCTTCCATAGCGTGAATTTCCTGAGTTTGACTGAACTGATCCAGTGGATTTGATTTCCAGAAATCCCTCGAAGTACTTAAGTTAAATGTTTTCATTTTGTATCAACATCTGACAAAAACACCAGAGAGATAATTATTCTTGACATCACAACAGTTTAATATGTTAACTTAGTCATTAAATTGTGCTTCACATCAATGGGGATCCTCAGTTCTACAAACTATCATTTTTAAATAGCAATAAAGGTTGCCAATGCCACAATATAGTCTCCTAACAGTCAAGTTCATACATACTGCACAGAAGCAAAAGAAGAAACACCTCCTAGAAGAAATAATTTGCATCTATTGAATAACTATCTTACATCTAGAATGGGGCACCAGATAAAGATTCAAATTTTTCTAACGTCGAATCTGATACATTGAAAAAAATATATAGGAAGAATAACAGAATGCAAGCAAAATCCGGAAAGTACTCCGGGAAGAAAAATCTTGGTCGTATGATTTGAACAAAGCGTGAGGAGGAGATGGAAGATGGTGTGACCACGGCTAAGTCACGTAAAACTGCTGGTCAGGGCGTTGTTGTCCCAGCAAGAGCTGAGGGTCTCTGGCCCCAATCTTGTGCCTTTCATGAGTTCCCACAGGGAGGCAGAAGACAGATCTCAGAGAGCCGCCCTCAGTTTGCTGAAGGTGGACAGCTGCAGTCTGTTCTGTGGATACTGAAGAAGACAGGCTCCAGAAACACCTGCATGTCCGTGTCTGCAGATTCAGCATTCCAGTATCCCACCACGCTACCCCAGTCCTTGCCTGGAAGTGCAGAGGCTTGCGGGCTCCTTTTCGTGTCTACAACGGGCCAGTCCTTGGGATTCTCAGCACTTCTTCCGGGGAAGGCCAGTTCCGTTAACAGACTGTGGAGATGGGTCCATGCTGCTCTACCTGAGAGGTGACACAGCTCAGAATGCCCCCCCACACCTTGCCCAGGAGGGCTCGTTCGGTTTCAGAGAATTCACCCAGATGTGTCCTCTTGAATACGGTAGAACAGAGCTGACACTCGCTAGTGCCCAGAAGAGACAGAACAGGATAAAAAGGGAAGTCAGGAGTGTTGAGAGGAGGAGCAACCGCAGTCATGGTTCCCAGCAGTCATGAACGGGGCGGCATCATCGGCCTCTGCCAGCAGCCCACCACCCAGCCTGGAACTTTTCAGATAGAGCTCTGGTGACCAGCAGAGGCGCATTAATGATGGGAAAGGAAAACCCAGAACCACAGTTGTGATCACATGAGAGTATTCTCGCCTGTGTCGAACACAGCTCCCCGTTGGATCCAACTCTTCCACCACAGTGACCCTTGAGACCCCAATTCTGCTTGGGGTCCTGATTCTGCCTTGAGGGTGTGTCCCCTCCTTGCTTTCCTGAGTGACTAGAGGGATTAAGTCACACGTTTCTGGGCTACCTTTTATCCTAAGGACATGAGTCACATCTTTGCCATGTTTGATATCCCATTATCGACTGGCACATATTGTAACCGTCATCTTTCCCTGGGTGGTCTGTCTCTCTGAGCCCTAATTTCCTCTGTTGCTGCCCTTCCTGCCTGTAGCCCTCTGTGCCGGTGTGACCCCACTTTGACCCTCTTCTCAGCCAGATGGCACGTCTGGGAAGGAATCGGACAGAGTGGGTGAAGTTGCTTGCTTAAAGCATTTCACCCTCCAGCGATGGGCAAAGGAACTCAGTGGCTACCAAATAAACTACATAAGAACTATAGCAACATGCTGCTGGTGAACTACCAGCGACCTGTGGACAAAGTAGAGAGAGGGAGGCATTTCATGAGCAGAGGTCCTGTTGATCACCCCTCAAGCTTTCCTAACGGGCAGCTACTGAATCTGATTTTCTCAAAGGTTGCCTGTCCCATTGAATAGCAAGTTTATCCCCTCGGTCTCCATGTTGGATAGTCTGAGGGTGGAGTCAGGTCAGCATCCAGACTGAGGTGTTTGAATGTCTCCCCCGAACTCATGAGCTCTCCTTGGACTCCCATGTACCACTCTCCACATGAGTCTTTCATTCAAGTAAGAGGCTGCTTCACTATGGGGGCAAAACCGAGAGTCTACTGGACCTGTCCCTGGCATTTTCTAGGTCACTGCAGCTGCACAACACTTGAAGGAAGACAGAAATCAATAAAGATTTAGGTTTCACGTTCTTGCAATTCCCAGTCCCAATACTAATGCCAAGCAGTGTGGGGAGTAGGAAAAGCTCCAAGGCTGAAAGACCGTGGGCTCTGAGCAAATTCCCTGCAAATGAATGGGGAGGGCAGGGGTCTTCCAGTGTCTGCATCTTCGTCCTAAATGACCAAATGTAGCAATAGAACAGAAATGCCGGTCAGCGTGTAAGAATGTAAGGCAGGCCAAGTAAGGTGCCACCCAAAGATGTTTTAATGCTGACAGAGCAAAACTTTAATCTCATCCTTCGTAAAATTGTTGAGAAAATAAACGACACTGAAAAGTACTTGGCATTTTTCCCATTTCCTTTTGTATTGGGGACCCATTTGTTTAACAATAGAGCTCCCTCCACACTTATCAAGATAGCCAGCACTGTGTAATGATAAAGACATTTTCTAGTCTTCTCTGCGACTAAATGTGGACAGGGTCTAGATTCCAGCCACTGGGACATGGCTGTAAGCAGTATCTTCAATTCCCTATAATTCCACTCCACTGCCTTAAGTGAAAATAAGATCACTGTGGCTACAGCAGACACCCTAGGCCAGGAGGCAGACGCTATGTCTTAGAATGAAAAAAGTAGTAAGAGAGGATTAGTCCCCTCCCCATCCAGACTTCTAAAAGCATTATGTTAGTGGTCTGCTCAAATGAAGATTTGCAGTTCTGATTTTTTATTAGATTTTTGATACAGAAACATATCCTTCTACTTTTCAGTAACTCATCATTTTCCTTAAGTGTTGTCAACATTGATTGGTAAAGTTATCAATTATTTTCTCCAATATCAAGATTAGGCTTCCAGGAAGCTGGAAGGAGCCAAAAAGTGTGTCTGTCTTAGTCCGTACCAAAATATGAACAGAATTTATCTGGCACATAACACACATGTACGCATACCATGCATTCAAACCACTACAAAATGTGAACAAACAGAGACAGACAGATAGATGAACCACACACATGGAACCTCACAATATGAAAATGTGTACTCACATGTACCCTGCAAAATGCGAATAGAGACATACAGACAGACATATATAGACACACACAGACACACACAGACATATATAGATACACACAGACATACACAGACACACACAGACATATATATATATACACACACACAGACACACAGACATATACAGACACACACAGACATATATATATACACACACAGATACACACGGACATACACAGACACACACAGCCACATATAGACACACACAGAGAGACAGACACATATATAAACACACAAAGACACACATGCATATAGACACAGACATACACAGATACACACAGATATACATAGACACATTATGGATCCACACAGAGAGACAGACACATATATAAACACACACAGACACACAGACACACACACACACACACACACACACACACACACGCACGCACGCACGCACGCACACGCACACCATATAAACTCCAGTCCACTGTCTTGTGCTGCTACTGCCAAGAGAAGGGAGAAAACACCTGCCTGGGAACTGGAGAATTCTTCGAGAAGCAGACTTATGTAGGTGCTGTTTCTCCTCTATCTGTGCAGCTGGCATTGATGTGGTGTGAGACCTTAGGACTGACAGGTTCCCGGGCACCGTTAGCTTCCTGTGCTTGCCACTGGCGTGTCTTCCTTCAGCCGCACCCAGCACCCGGCCCTGGCACCCGGCACCCGGCACCCGGCGTGGAGCTTGTGCAGTCAGTTTTCGAAGAATACACTATATCCCACCCCTCCATTCCTATCAAGCAAGAGCCTGGGGATACGACAATGGAGATGCTTCCAAATGGAACTACACGAGTGAGGAAGCCCACGCTAGTCTTTCCAGTTCACTTAGCCCTGGCCTGAGGGCAACACAGAGATGGTTCCTCCTCACAACATCCCGTTGCCTGCTCTCAAGAGGAGGGAGGGCCACACATCCTACACGCGGCAGTGAGGGGGCAGAAAGCCTTTTGATGTAAGCTCTAACTTTCCAGAGGAACAGTGTGAAGGCAGCATGGCTGCCTCCAAGGACTCCTCACCGAGAATGTGTAAAGCGAGTTGAAAAGAATCAGTGTGGTACTTTGGGGCCTGTTTCGATTTTTCCATTTGATAAAGTACTGGTGTGTGTGTGTGTGTGTGTGTGTGTGTGTGTGTGTGTGTGTGTGTTGTACATATGGACACGTGTGTCACAGCTGATGGCTGAGGCACGGTTTTCAGGTTTCCATTCCTGGCAGAGCAATCGATCTCGACAATGGATTGTGTTCTTCTCATCCATTCCTGCAACCCACCCCCAACTCTACTCCCTCTTCTGGAGCCAATCGTCATGAGGAGACACATGTGTGTCTGAGGGCCCTCATCTCCAACAACTAAAAAGCCATAGTCAATGTCCAATGTCCACTTCCAGTTTACTTTTGTGTGTAAGTCAGAAATTGTGGTTGCTTAAGAAGTCATCCATCCCTCAGTGACGAGGGGGACAGCCACCCTCAGGGAGAAGGGCTCAGGATCACCGCGAGTGCAGACTTGTCGCTTCACGCCACCTCTGTGGGCCAGGAGCAAAGACTTCAGAGTGATAGCATCTGGCTTCTTGTATGGCTGGCAGGAAGATTTACCCCACCTGGGAAGCACTGTGTGAACAGTAACCTTGTGCTTGGTAGCTTTCTAGGTCTACCTTTCAATCCTCAAGGAAGCCTCATCTCGTCTGTGGGCTTCATCTTCTCCGCTACACGATGAGGACTAAGAGCATCCAACTTGTTATGATGGGGATGGTACCCAAGGTCTAGCATGGGGCTTCTCTTAGAACATGCACGACCCAAGAGGGCCCCCAAGATGACATTTCCTACAGTGCGCTAGACACCAGTCACGTCCGCTGGAGACTGTATCAGATGCTAGGCTCCCTTGCACCGGGCACTCTGTAAACACTGGGGGACCATGGCCTGTCAACCCCAGAGAGAACAGCCTGGAGACTGAGAAGCGGTTTATGGAAAGCTGGCTTATGAGTCAAGCATGTAGGGCGTCAGTGAAACAGGCTTTCCAGCCTGATTTCAGGGTCTCAAGCCTTTGGCTGCTTGGAAAGATCCATCCCTTATCAACGTGTTGTAAGCCTTGCTACCCACTCTGATCTCCCAACTGAGTGAGAGGCAAGGGCTTTCTGCTCCCCACTTCCCTTTCCTTTCTACAGAAGTGACTTTTTTTTTTGTGGCGGGGAAAGGGAAAAAACCAAGGAACCCGGGGCAATGCATCGTATTTTTGGTTCAGTTTTGTATGCTGTAGCTTGGACTTCTGATTGTAGCCGCAGAGCGGGGGCAGTGACCATGTGGGGAGGCCAGAGGTCTAAGGGAAACTGGAAATGTCAGGTGCAGCGTATCGCCCTGAACTCCTGATATAATTGCCTCATGGATGCCGCCCTGCATCTCCCGAATGCATCGTGTGTCCTCATGGGTTCAGCTCCTGTTCTGTAATGTAAGACTCCTGAAAACTTCTTTTTGTGACAGCAGACTTTGAAACCTGGCTGAGAAGGTGCCCGCTCCACAAGGCAAGGGTCTGGCATTCTTTTAATGTGACATCCAAGGCTCTGAACCTGGTTTAGAAGCGGAGGTTTCCCTCTTGGTTCTTTGCTCTCACTCTCTTGTTTATTTTATTATTTTATTTTATCCCTTACTTGGAGGATTAACACTGGTAATGGACAATCTCCTCAGTCATTACTAAATAAGTGTGCTCTCCAAAATATCCCACCAGTGTTTATTATTTCCTGTTCGCTCCCTGTGCCCTGAAAGACCCGTGGTTTGGGGCTCTGAAGTCAGAGCTTGCAGACTAGGAGTCTCTAGCTACCGTCTACGTTATATCGATTTTGCTTTAAAAAATCTGCAAGGACAAACCATGCTATTCATGACTTAAACATCATATGTGCCGTTCCCCAGTTCAACACTGAGAGAGAAGGGCCATCTAAGGGCAGAGGGTCTTTCTCTCTTTCTCCAAGCAGACCAGTGTTCTATCGGGTGTAATGGGATGCAGTCAGCATAGTCTCTACACCGTGTTTGGTTTTTCCCGTGTGCTTCTGTGGGCTTCAGATCCCCAAACTGACCCCTGGTAAGTGACAACCATCCTACACACTGTCTCCTTTCTGAGGCCTCTCTTCTGAACCTCCATCGCCCAAAAAACGGTCTGTTGGGTAAGATTTCCATCCCACTTATATCAGTGATCAGACATTGTCTGGAAAAGGAAAAACAAACATAAAAACCAAAACCAAAATGGGAAATTTCCCATTGGACTGGAAATGAAGACGAAGAAGAGGAAGCAGACATCCCAATCAAGTCACACCCAGGCAGGTCCTGCATCAGGACCCAGCTTCTTCAATGCAATCCAAGGGGAGGACAGGGCGCCTGCCTGTCTCCCCCGTCATGGAAAAGCAGCAGGAAGTCGGGGTGGGGGGGTCACCATCTAACCACCTGACTGTTGTAGTCCTCCGTGACCGTCCCCTCTGCGGCCCCGTCCTCTTTGGGCCACCGATGCTGCGCCCTGTGTTCTCGCTGCAGCCTCCGCTCCTCCCGCCGCCTTTGGCGGTCCCTCTGGTGCTCCAGCTGTTTGGTGTGGTGGTAGCGTTGCTGGAAGAGGTCTTTTGCGTATTCGTAGAGCTGCACGTCCAGGAAGTTGAGCTCCTCGATGTGCTGACGGGCGCCCTCGTTGATGTCCACGTTGGAAGCCCGCGTGATGTTGAACTGCGTGAAAGGGGAGATGAACCTCAGGTTGAATGTCCTCTCGAAGAGAAACTGCGTCTTCCTCTGGAACTCGGTGAGCCCGAAGAAGGCCATGTTCTTCAGGTTGTTCTTTGCGCTCTGCAGCAGAATGGCGCTGCGCTCGCTCTCGTTCATGAAAGTCAGGTTGTAGCAGCCCACCAAGCTGAGGTCGGCCAGCATGCGCACCTGTCGGTTGTTGGCCAAGTTGTAGCTGCAGTCCATGAACTCCCGCAAGCTGACCCCAGACCAGTCATCCCCTGGGTAGCAGGTAGGCAGCTCATCTGGGGTGGGGCTCCTTCCGTCGCACATGTGGAGGGAGGTTTTCCACGTGGCCCCTCTCTGGACGTGTTTCCATTCACTCAGGTAACGTGACACTGGGTCCCGCAGCATCGTGATATAGTAGAAGTTCCTGGAAGAGACGAGAGGAGGAGGTCAGTGGCTGGCGATGCTTATGCTGCTGTCGTTTCTGAATCTCTGGTATCTAAAGCGATGCCAATTGGATGGGCGCCACTGCCCGGAGCTCAAAGGGGATCACGGGCCTGAGATTGCACTGACAAACCGTGTGTGATTGTATTCCTACCCTGCAAATGCTGTGTTTATGGAGAGCTTTCTTACCCCGTTGAGTATTAACAGGGGTTAGTAGGAGGAATGAATTATTCATTCACTCAGCAGTTAGTCACTAATAAAGTACTGATGGTTTTAATATGTTAAATTTAGAGTAAACATCGAATGTGTAAAAACTGTGTCATCTATCTGAAGTGGAAAAGGTGTGACTGCTAACTTTTATTTGAGCCTTACATCCAACTTTTGAAGTAGACACGGCACTGTTAGAGAAGGAAACAGGAAAAGGTCATGGAACCCAAAACGGCGGGACCCAAACCTCTTCACCTTCTCTCATGACATTGCTCCTCAGATTGTAAATTAAGGAGGGAAAGGGTGAACTGCCCATCACACCTTGTCACCTGCTCAAGGAGAGGCTGGATGTCCGTTTGTCAAAGAAGCCACAGAAAAGACACTGCAGAAAAGCAGGGTACACAGGAACCCTTGGAGCTGTCTTCTGTCTTTGAAACCCAGCACTCCCCATTGCCTTTCCACAGAAGACAGTTTGAGCCCAAGTCAGCCCAACCCGGTCCTTGCTTCATTCATAAAGGCTGACTCTAGAAATACCAGGCCAATCATATTAACTCAGAGTTTTCCTGAGGACACAGGTGTAGTTCTCATAATGCTCTTGGAAGAATCCAGGAACCCCTGTAAAATGCCTGGCATGCTTCCAAGTAGTCAGAACGTGCCCTGCCATGCCCCGAGGGGAAGGACTATTATGCACTGTGGCACCCTGCTTTGCACCCAGATGGAGAAGACACAGTCACATGAGCTTAATCCATCTTAGTGAGTGCTCTTTGAAGAAGCTTGACAATAAAGTAAGCAGAGTATTCGACATGGATACACACACATGTAAGGTGGATGAATGATAGACAGATAGATAGATGATAGATGGATAGATGATAGATAGGTAATGATTGACAGATGATGACAGATAGATGATGATTGATAGATTACAGATAGATGGTAGATAGAAAGATGAAGATAGATGATAGATAGATAGATAGATGATAGATGATGATAGATGATAGATACATAGACAGATGATAAATAGATGATAGATATGTGATAGATAAATGATATATGATAGATAGAGAGATGATAGATGATAGATAGAGAGATGATAGATAGAAGAGAGATGACAGATGCATAATGGATGCGGAGATGTTACAGACAGGGGATTGGTGATGATAAATAGTTACATGACAGAAATCTAGATGTGACAGATATGTGGTAGATAAACAGATGATAAATAGATTACAGATATATGATATATAAATAAATGAGAGATAGATGGAAATAGATGGCAGATATTTAGATAGTAGATAGTCTGGTAATGACTTAGTTGTCACTGTATCATGTATGCTTGCCAATCTCTGCAACCAAGTCACTATAGATATTATATATTTGGAGATGAATGGCAAAGTCTAATTCTATTTCAAATAAAGGCTGTATGTATCTTTGAAAATGGGGAAAAATAGAGGATGATGGAAAATCACTGTGCATCTCCTATATTATCACAGTACTCGTCTCTGCCTCTTGCTGCAGGTGGAGGACATCACATCTGGGAAAACTCTAAGATATGGGACTGTTACAAACTCAAAAACATGCCTTAGGCCAGGGAATTTTATCATTGCTTGTAAAATGGTGAAGAGCGAAGAAGACAAAAACTAAGTTACATTTTATGTGTGAAAGAGCCCAGTGCCAGAGAAGATGATAGAAACCACACAGCAAGCCAGACCAATGGAAAATAAGAAATAATTCCCCAGGAGGAGAGCCCAGAGATGTACGAGGAAAAGAGAAAGCATGGGGGGCTGATATTCAATTAACAGAAATACTGTACTCAAGTTACTTGCTGACCTATACCATTTGTGCAAAGTATTTTTCAAGATTGTGGAAGATTTTTTTCTAGTTTTGTTTTACATTCGAAGTAATCTTTTTTAATTTAAATAAACTTAAATGCCTGGATGCCAATTTTTTGTTCATAGATTAACACTCAGGGTCCACAGAGCAGTTGATTCAGAGGTGAATGCACACTCATTTGGTATGTGTGTGCGTGTGTGTGTGTGTGTGTGTGTGTGTTTATTTAGTATTTAACAAACTAAGAATTTGAGAAGACAAGATGTCTTCAAAGGTTATACTGGTTCTTAGTTACAGAGCTTGAATTTAATCAGGTCTGCCTTACTCCAAGAGAACTCTCCCTTCCTCATCCTGTCACGACAAGAAACCCTACTCAGGGAAGCAGCTTTCAACCCAGCTCTTCCTCTACTGGGCCAAGATACACCAGACAGAAAACCTTTGCATACTCAGCTGTAACCATGAAAGATAAATAGCTTGAAGATCAGTTGTTTGTATTCTGATCTTTGGAAATAATTGAGGAGGTGTTTTCTTTCAAGCTATGCCTCTTCCTATATTCTGCTATTCTCAGTACAGATCCTTATCAGTAGCTAAACCAAATGGCTTTGGAATGTGCTTAAGAAACGTCAGAGTAGCCGGGTGTTGGTGGCTCACGCCTTTAATCCCAGCACTGGGGAGGCAGAGGCAGGAGGATCCCTGTGAGTTCGACGCCAGACTGGTCTACCAAGAGAGTTCCAGGACAGGCTCCAAAAACAATACAGAGAAACCCTGTCTCGAAAAAAGAAAACCAAACAAACAAAAAGAAACTTCAGAGTCCCAACCAGTCCCTTCAATTCCAAAGGGAGAATTTCTTGGAATCGCCATGGGCACTGCAGCCCAAATCCTTGCATTGGCCATTCTCCAACACTCACTCTTGTCTTTTAACATGACAGAAAGATGACGCAACAGTGTAAGCGTATGTCCTGAAAGGCCAGCAAGGAATCAGGAGGTGTGTGGACATGGCTTCTGCCCTCTGGAGGAGCCACTACTAATCCAGTGAAGCCCAGAGCAGATGCAGATGACTGTGCCTTGTGCCTAACGTGGGACCACCTCACGGTTCACTTCCACAGTGGAGACTGATCTTTATTTCACAAACAATTCTGTAATAAGTGTTATGAATATAGCAATGATGAAGACGCAACTCAGCGGGTCGTGTTTGTCAAACACATCAGGGCAGTAGCATTTAAGTTAGAAAGGTGTTCAACTGAGCCCCTTCCCCCGCAAAACTTCTTTGCCACGTAATTTCTGCCTGATGGCATGTTTGTTCCCTACCAAGGCATCTGCCAAGGTCCCACCTCACACTGTATATAACAAAGTATTTCAACAGCAGCAAAATTTAATGACTTTAATTCAAGTTCTAAGTCTCAAATTTTATAGTATTCAGAGTTGCAGGTATATGGAGATAAGAAATCCAAGGTCAGTCGCATCAAGACCCACGCGAATCTGCAGAAATGAGTATTTTAACCTCACTTGGGAACACTAGGCATAGAATATCTGGTAACTTTGCTTCTCCAGATATTATGTGGCTAAATGATCTTAGATTCAAAATCAACTATTTAACCTCAGATTGCATTCAATTTTGCCTGCTGGTGTTTATATAAGTTTCAGATGTCTTTGAGGTTTACTAGTCAAAGAAGTCAGCTTGTAAGTAAAATTAAATGTGGCACCAAGACATAAATCTCCAATACAACTCCTGCACCTATGGCTCGGGGACCACTGGGGATGACTGCACCTATGGCTCGGAGAAGAACGGGCAGAAAGATCACAAGAGCCAGAGGACCAGGAAGTTTGTTGTGAGATTGTATCTATGCTAGAAACATCAGAAAAGTTATGCTCAAGAAGTCTCACCAACGTGGATGTCTAATCATGACCCGAAGGAGGAAGAAAACAATAGACAGGTTAACTGGGAATGGAGGGTTTTCACAGGCTGTCATCAAAATCCTAAATAAAAACTAAAGGCATTCTGAAAGCAAGAGGACCTTCCCAGGGCAGAATGATTATCAAATGCTAAATGGTCAGTCAGCGCTGAAAACATAAATGTAAGTAACGTTATATGAACTGACCTTATGTATTGTATAGTCAGGCACACACACACACACACACACACACACACACACACACCACATGCCAGTGATGAAACAAAAGGAGCCATGAATTTGAAAGAGAGCAAGGTAGGTTGGTAGGAGGGCTTAAAGGATGAACGAGAGAGGAAAATTATGTGATTTTATTCTAATAAAATGACTTTTTAAGTTAATGGAAAGGAACTAGAAGAACATTGGCAATGATGAGCACCAGGTTGCCAAGCTTATAACTTTGGATAAATATCAAATTATTTTTTAGTCATCATTAAATTTTCTTTTCTTTGATACGATTTTTTATTTTTTGCAGCTTCAGTGAAACTTTAGTTCTTAAAACTATGTGTTTAATACTGGAACAGAAGATTAGAGTGTCTTAAAATGATAAACAGAGGAAGCACAAACCTAGGTCTGTGGTGGCCATAACACAGAGACTCTCAGTGACATATGCTCCTTTAGCCCCAGCACCTACACCTAGATAAAATATCCTCCAAATCCCTCTCTCTCTTTCTATATATCTACATATCTATACATACACACCGTGCCAATAAACTATTAGCCCACTTTCCTCCTAACCAGACATTCCCATATACCCCATCAAACATTATTTGAGCCTTCTCTCCCACACATAAGAACAGGGGGTAGACACTGGGAAATCTCTGGGATTGAAGACACTGTTCCCAGAGAGAGTTTTACGTGAGAGAAATGATGGATTTCAGGGGCGGATCTGCCAATCTCCTTGAGTCAGAAAAGTCCCTGAGATATAAAACTGGGTCTTGTTGGAGGCGGCATCCTTCCACAGATCTCCTATTTGTCGTCCACCTCATTGAAACTCAGA